CCCCCCCCCCCCCCCCCCAAACCCTTAAAAATCGCTCGCAGGGTTTTGAGGATTCTCAGCTCTGGAGATTTGGACATTCACAGTTTCAGTCTCGTGTCTCTGTCCCTGTCTCCCCAGTTCTGTCAGCAACACTGGGCTTTTTATTTTTTTTATTTGCTCCCCCTTCCCCTTTTTTTTCTTTTTTTTAAAATTTTAATTTTTTTTCTTTTTTTTAATTCACGTTGTTAAAAAAAAAAAAAACACAACAAAACAAAACCCCAAACAAACAAACAAACAAACAACACAAAGAGAAGATCTGGAAACGATCTGGAACGTTGTCACCAGACCTCACATCTCCCTCCCCAGTGAACGAGACTGATTTCCCCACGTCCCTCCCCCCCCCCCCTCCCAAAAAAAAAAAAACCTTTACACCTGTAAATAGCAAAAGAAAACAAAAAGGAAAAAAAAAAAAAAAAGGAGAAAACAAAACAAAATAAAATAAAAGAGAGAGAGACCTACACACATGCTACGCCTTAAAAATGCAGAGTTAACACTAGTGGGAAGAAGGCCGTGGGTTGCTGAGATGGTCTTTGAAGATGAAGCAGTATCCATCTGCACCCCCTGCATCCCCAGCCCACCCATCCCAGTGAGAGTCCTTCATGGAAAAGGGGCTTTGCTTCCACTCCCCACGAGCTGCTGGGAAACAACAACCCCTCCCACGCACCCCCCCCCCCCCCCAAAAACCCCCTCCCCCCCCCCCCCCCACCCCCCCCCCTCCCCCCCCCCCCCCCCCCTCCTGGTTTTTCCCTCCCCCTCCGAATTGAGCCGGGCTGGTTGGAATCTGGACACAGCAGGAAAGCTGCACGAAGCGCTGGAGCAGCTGCAGGGGCACAGAAACCATACTGGTCTCTTCAAAGGGCACCTTCTCCGGCCGTCTCCACGTCCCACCCGAGCAGAGCCGCCTCCAATCCCCTCCTGCTCACACCCACAGGCCACATCTCTCCACCAAGGGCCGCCCAGAGCGGGGAGAGAGGGCTTTAGTTCTTGTCCTCCTTCTTGTCGTCGTCCTCGGAGGGGTAGGAGTGCCATGTCAACCTCTCCTCGTAGAACGAGATCACCACCTGCGGGCAGTTGATGTTGGCCTCCTTGGCGGGCACCAGGTCGGCCTCGTCGGAGTTCTTCCTACAGGGGAGCAGAGAGGGGAGTCAGGGAGGTGTGGGAGGGATGGGGAGGTGTGGGAGGGAGAGGGAAGTCAGGGAGGTGTGGGAGGGAGGGACAGGGAAGTCAGAAGAT